CCTCTGGGACAGGCGGTGGCCCCCTCCTGACCGCTCCAGCCTATGGAACAGACGGTGGCCCCCTCCTGACCGCTCCAGCCTCTGGGACAGGCGGTGGCCCCCTCCTGACCGCTCCAGCCTGTTCCTCACTGTCAGCTTGATCAGGATATATCAGAGATCTAGCGTTTCTTTGCGTGTTGAAGCATCCTTTTTGTCCCCAACATTGTTCATCAGTTTGGAAATCCATTTCCAGCTGAGATCTGATGTGCTTTCTGTTTTTTTGTTTTTTTTTGTACATAAACAAAAGTGTTTAAGTAGATGTATGCACTGTAATGTTTATCAGGACTGGAATCCTTATTGTTAATATCAAAGCTTGTTAATAAAGGTTACTCCTAATACTTTAAACGTTCGTTATATTGCCTGCTCCCTAGGTATTCTCTTAAGAACAGCAGCCATAGCATCCTTTAATAACAAAACTGCATGTGACCCCAGCCAAAATGGCTGCCTTCCCTTATAGCAGAGGCCAGGTGACCTGCTGGAGCTGAATATTTTCAAAATATACACATCAATGAACACACGCATCAGTACTTTTTTTTTTGTCAAAATTGTGAAAGTATTTGTTCTCTGGTGTTTTGTTATCATAAAGTTGGAGTGCTTGCGACTTTTAAAAACTTTTAAAAACCAGATAATTTAAGAGTCTCCCATGAACACCAAACTCTAACCCTTGTTGCTCCTCAGAATGTAGATCTGCAAAGCCATGTACATCCTGGTTCAAAATAATGATTCAACCAGTTAGTCTGTATTAGTGGTGATAAGCTGCTAATACTAAATTACTTCTATACGCTCTGACAGAAACCATATCTGTTTGGCGACTCAGAACACCTTTAGCTAAAAAGTTTTACTTTAACTAGGGTGACCAGACGATTTCCAAAAAGAACATTCTGCCCAGCCTCCAGAAGCTTTCAGACAGGCTTGTCAGAGGTTAATGAACATGCTTTTTTTATACAAAAATAACTGTGTTAAAACAAAATCTGTAACTACCAATAACAAGTTATCGCTGTTTTAAATGACATAAAAATCAAATATTCAAAATATGACCTCTACTGTATTAGAAAATAAAGCTTCAACGTTTCAGCATTTTCACATCCTCCACTCCATTCCAGACCGCCTACACAAAGCAAAGCCTACAGCCTCCATTCCGTCCTGCTCCACTCCGACTTTGTTGGAGCTCGAGGAGAGCGTGCATGATATTAAATTCATAGGAGCAAAACATGCAGAAATGAACGCTTTATTATGACATAATTAAAACTCACCATCAGCATGAATCACACATGTTTCTGAAAAAACTTTTTTTTTTTCATTGTGGATCTTTGTAACAGGGATAATTAGGATCATACAACATGGGTTTGTTCTCTACATCCAAACTCAGCATCTCTTCATCAATGCCCGCAATAAGAAGTTTGTTGAAGTTGTCAGATGCGCTCTTGGAAGTTTTGACTGGATTTGATGAAACTTTTAAGCCTCAGTATAAAATACATATTTTGATGGAGGTGACAATGCTGCTTTATTATAGGTATAGTTTAATAGTTTGAATCCAATCAAATCCATTTAAACTGCTTTGTTTTGGGGAATATATAAGATGCCCTAATTTGTAATTCCCAATCCATCGTTATATTTAAATTTTCTCTTGGTGCGATTGCAATGGTGGATCTTGACCTGGCCAGACCGAAGCAAAAAAAAGCTCTGCTCTGTATTTTGATGGTGATGGACGGAGAAAACGTACAGAGGAATAGTTGTGGATGAGTAACATGAGGGAGAACTCAAGAGCTCCGGTCGACGTATGTGAGCGGAGCCTTAGGATGTTGAACCTGGGGGTAACAAAGTACTCAGTCAACTTTGCAGAGGAGCACTCGCCTCCGTTTCGTTTTAAGTTTTCAAGCATCCATGTTAGCTTTGAGATCTCCAGCACCATTATTAAGAGATTTAAACATGTGGTCCATCTTTGCACACAGTGCACTCAGCCTCCCACTTG